TACCATATGAAGCTCAAATTCCTTAGTCTTTTTTCTTCATGTTTTTTCAGTTTTCTCTCCCCAGTTCCACCCAATCCTCTAAATGACTCTTATGTCCCATCCGTCAGGTATCCTCATCAAGCTATGGCTGTTTTGAACATCTATTCATTCATTCATTCATTCATTCATTCATTCATTCGTCACATACAAAGGGTGCCAAAACAATGTGTACACATTTTAAGAGAGGAAAAACTATTAAAATTGTAATAATATATACTGGTAACAAAAGATGAATACAAGTCATGTTTGACTTCTGCAATTACAAGAGATGCTCAAAGTGGTTACCATCAGTGCCCAGACACTTATGATTATGGCAAACCATTGCTTCAGCAACATTGACCAAAGGGTCCACTTGTATACATTTTTTTGGCAGCCCTGGTGTTTACCACCCAGGCCAGGCATTATGCTAGGTGTTGAAGACAACAAAACCCCTTAAAAATAGGGCTTAAATCTTACCTTTTATCAATAACCATGACCAAAAAGTATCATTTTCAACTGAAAAAAGGGTTTATTTTCTGTAACATTTATATGACACTAATCTACCACTGCCTTGTGTGGAAGCTATGGGTATATTTGTTCTATTTCTCAAGTTATATTACAATTTCTTGGAGAGCAGAAATCTTTGCATATAGGAGGAAATCAAATAGTTGTTGGACTGAATTTTTTCTTTATCTTCCTGATAGCTAGACTTAAACCTAGCTGGCACTCAGCTACTTCTGTTACTGAAATTGAAAAGATGAAAAAAAAATTTTTTTAATTCCAAAGTGGAGCAATGATTGCTAAGAACAGTGAAGGGTCAAAAAAACACCAAAGTGTCAAAAAAAAATTCTTGTAAAAAAAAGAACTGTGAAGGGTATTAGATCTTACCCTACTTGCAAGCTAACAAGTTAGCCTATAATAGTTGCAGGGATGCTGGCAGAAAACACAAGGCTCCTTGGCCAGAAACAATAGACATAATTACTCATGGTACAGTAAGCAGAATGTGCATCAGCATATTTGTGTCAGCCCTTGCCCCTGAGTCTCATAGGGTTGATGTAGATAGGCCCAGGTGTGTGCCTGAGTGTTCAGTGGATTGCAGTACAGAGAGGACCCTGAACTAGGGAAACTCAAATAGTAGGCAGTAAGCATGAGGCCTTTTACTCCAGAGGGAGACACTATATTTCTCAAGGCTGTTTATTATACAAATGTCTTTTAAAAGAAAGTCTACACAAGGAAGAGAGGGCCTGTGTGTGTGAGACATGCAGAAACGTGAGAGACCCATGGATAACTATCTCCCAACACTGAGAAAAATCAATAGGGATTATTAATAAAAATAGCCACTGTTTCAGATTTCCAGTCAAGATGGCAGAGTAGGTAAATGCTGTACTCACCTACTCTCAGGACCACATCAATTACAACTAAACCACAGAACAACCATTATTGAGACGCGTATGAAGTCTAGCTGAACCAAAGCCCTATAACTACAGACATACAGAAGAAGCCACCTCAAGACTGGTAGGAGGGGCAGAGGTACGGAACGAGCTGGTCCCACACCCACGTGGGACCATTAAACAACAGGAGGAATATATCAGCTGTAGAGATTCCCCCTTGAAGAGCAAGAGGTCCCAGCTCCTCCTCAGCCCAGGATTTCAGTGCCAGGGATAGAAGTCCAAATAACTTCTGGCTGTGAAAACCAGCAGAGATTGTGGCTGAGTGAGACAGAGGGCGGCTGCACTCCCAAGTGCTCCTCTTAGAGAGACTCACTTGTTCTGACTCCAGCACTGGGGAGGCAGCTTGAAAGGTGCTAGGCAGCAGGTATGAGGAGGAACTGAATTGTCTAGCTTCAGGGTGAGGGCTGGAGGGGCAGTTTTCAAAATATATTGCCCTAATTTATACTACTGTCAGCAACACGAAGTGGCCCTATCTAATTAGGCCCTAACTACATATTTACTAACATTGATAATCATCATTAAAGACATCTCTAATAGGCAAAATGGTACATCTTTGTTTTCCTTTCTTTAACTGTTGAGGTTTAATTGTCCTTTTTTTTTCTTCAGTTTTTTTTAGTCATTTATATTTCTTCCCTATAAATTATCTGTTAAAGTCTTTGCTGGCAGGAATCAAGTGTTGTTCTTTTAATGTGCTTCAGTGCTTAGAATGGTGTTTGACATTCAAGAAGCTTTGAAAACAAATAGGAAAATATAGTGGTAACTGTTTACATCCTTGCAAGAATAATCAAACCACGGAAAACTAACGATTGTGTACCATTTTAGGACCTACAAAAAATGTATCAGCCCAACAGCTACTGTGTTATTTTCAACATTTTGCCATGCAGAGCAAAGTCTGGAGTAATAGATCTGAGAGGGATAAGTGATGAAAACCAAGCCTATCCTAGAAACGGAGGAATCCAGTTTCCCTGAAGAGAGGTACCAAACCAACTAAAGTTCGTCCTCCTGTACACCAGAGGGCGAACGTGCAGAATATGCAGGAGCAAGAATGAGGGGTTCAGTCGACTGTATTTCCCAGAAGGTGACATTCCCCCCCCCCACCACCACCACCACCCCGGACCACCACACCCCCCACCACCACCACCCCTACCCCGAATGCTCAGCCCCTGAGGACTTCAGGTCCCAAGTTGCTGTGCGGTTACGTGTGACTGTCTCCCACGGACCGAAACGCGCCATGGCCGCTGCCCACTGAGAGTGACTCGGCTGTTGAACGGTATCTCATTGACAGGAAGCTGGCGCTGGAAGGTTCTCAGACAAGATCTCGCTTTCTTAGGGCGGAAACAGCGTGCACAGGTTCGGGAGGGGTGGTGGACGAAGCGGAGCTGCTCTGAACCATGCTAGTGAAGTGTGGGTCCATCTCTTAAAAGGCCCAGTTTTGCAGAACCGTAGTTCCAGCAGGCGCTGAGAAGGCGTTCTTGCAACACTCCAAAAACTACATTTCCCAGCATTCTCGCGGCGCCAGAAGTACTTTTCCCGAAAGCCTGAGCGTGATTCATCCAGATTTTCGCTTCTTCCTGCCTATCGGAAAACTGAGGACATGTGGAGTCGCAGCGTTTGGCGTCTCCTGCTCTCTGAAAGCTGCGAGGACTGCCGGGTTTTAATCCCCTGCGGGCGTTTCTCGCCGGCCTTGCGGAGAGGTGAGAAAGGCCCTGTGTCACCGATGCCTGAGTGCGCTCTAGGGAGACGATGCTCGTGCCTGCTCGGGCGAGCGGGAGGCAAGGGCGCCACGCCCTCCCCCGCTGCCTTCGCCTGGTTCTGGGGACCCTGCTGCCGGGTCTCCCCAGGGAAGGGCGAGGACTGCGAAGAGGACCGCCTTCCTCAGAGCAC